TATATATATATATATATATATATACTGTCATGATTGTTATTCAAGCTGTTCTTTTTCTGTACGCATCGATTTGATCTTTTTCCCAATAAACCTATTGATTCGATCTTCCTAATAAATTTGCGTTTTTTTTCGCAAATTAATTTATTTTTGGACCCGTTTTTATCAAAATTTCAGCTTCTTAGGGCAAAGTTTTTACCTTTTCTTTTGGCAGAATTTGACGAAATGGGGAGGAGCGTTGCTCGAGTTATCACAATTTCAGAGCGTTGCAGAGTCAAAGACCATGATTAATGGTACAATGTTCTCGTAAATATGTGTGTTATATATAAGGTAAGTGAAATGTGCTGTGACAATTGACTTTTAGTGTTTAAATTATATAGATGCGATTTCGAAGTTGGAGGAAGCTTTGCTTATTAATCCCTTGAAGCATGATGCTTTGTGGTGCTTAGGAAATGCTCATACATCGTATGCATTCCTGACGCCTGATTTCGATGAGGCCAAGCCTTATTTCGATAAAGCGTCGGAGTGTTTTCAAAAGGCGGTCGACGAGGTAGTGTGTCACAAGTTTTCGATTTCAAATGTTTAAAAGTTATTGATTCTAAGAGAAGGTTTGATTGTGGAACTTTTGTTTTTCTTAGGATCCGAGTAATGAGCTCTATCTAAAGTCTTTGGAAGTCACTGTTAAGGTACGATATTTGCTTTCATTTGACCCGAAACGAAGAACTACTAATTTCTTTTAAGGTTGTTATTATGGTTCGTTGGGGGAATAATTGAATTAAGATGTTGGGTTTGCTAGAATTATCCAAAGCTTGATTAAATGCTTGGTGGCATTGTGCTTAGTAAATCTATTCCTTTTTAGCTGTTGTTGGTGTTTAGAGTTATTATAATGACCATCTAACGTTTGAACAAACATAATAAGGTTTCGGTTTTATTTGATTTTAGATCTTGAAATCAGGTCTTGTTGTCGTGTAAAGAAAAGTGATTTCTTCTAGCTTGTTTTTATCCAACATGGAATTTTGTTAAGCAATATTGAGCGTCG